GCCACCACATGCCTGATGTGATTTTCCACACTTGACTGTCTCAAATGCTATTCCCTTGTGAACCTGATTCCATCAATAAATTTGTTTTCGAGTAAAAATTAACTATTTTATGATTTTTTCCATCCTCTCTGCCGCACCCTGTACAGTTTATAAGCGCGGAAAATGCACATTAATTATTGCATAATTTGGTTAGTATAGAGATGGTTCCTGCCTAAAATATCAAGTTGAATGCGACAAGAATGGATCGACGCCGCATTATTCCTAAATTATTGTATGCTATCCATTCTGAATTAAGAAAGAATTAGTCAGAACCAACATGTGTTCAAAACTTTATACCCGTTGCTAGAACTGGGAACAGGAGATGGGGTTACAAATGCTGGGAGTGTATCATAACATCACATGAAGTTGTCCATAGATATCATTGTATGTAATATTTAGATCCCTATAGTCAGTCGATTTTCCAAGTCAGCACGCTATTTTGAGGTTATGTTAGAAATATCTATTTGCATCAAATTGTTCATTTTGATTTATGTCTTCTGTTTTATCAGCTTGGAATTTCTTAGGATTCAAAAAGAAAACGTAACCTGACAACAAAAAGCGTTGAACAGTAATAATCTAGAAATACCCCAGCCTTTCTGGAGGAGAGAAAATACCATAAAGGCATCTTACAATTGGTTATCAACGACTGACGATGCGGCCCTTAGTCCGACTGCTAATTTGGAGATTGTGGCTACTCTATTTTTTGTTAGTCTACGTAAACACTTACCATTTAATTGATAAATAGTCAACACTAATCGGGAATCAGGCAGGCCCGAAAACGAGACAGCGAAAAGATTGTTTAAAACACCACATTCGTCGTTGTTTTGATCACAGCTAGCTAGTCTTATCAATAATCACTTTATTAGGATAATCTGCCTTTGTAAATGAGTATATCTCAAGCAAATTTGTCACCCTTCTACCTGTCCCTTTGCAGTCTTCAAGCTTCTATCAGAAACTTTCTTGTACATATAGGGCTACACCTAACATCCTAACAGGAAAGGTAAGAAAAGTCTCAGGATGAAACTTGATATGTTCATCAAGAACCATCGATGCAAGTGTTATACTCGAAATCCAGACGTACATGACAGAATTGTCTTCTAAAAAATCGGATATCTCGTCTAGACTCAAGCATGACTAACCTTTCTTTTTTATCAGTTTGATATTTTAAACACCATAAAAAATAACAGAAAAACCTGACCATTTTATCACCTGTGGCAAGATAAATTCGGTATGTGAAAAATTCTTGAATTCCAATAAACATACGTAAGTAATGGGTGATTTTTTTGCTAGTATCTTTTTGGCAACACTGTTTTTGACAGATGACGCGTGAATCGTGTCTTGTGTCATTATCAAACTTGTTCAGTGTGGTCTATAAATCGACTTACGAACGAACAACGCTTGCAAATTATTGAATTTTACTAACAGAATTCATGCTCGGTTAAGAGAGTGCATCGAGCACTGCTTCCAATTTATGGGCAATTTGGTCGGCCTACTGAGGGAGCTATTCGGAAGCTTGTGACTAAATTTCGAACAGAGTTTACATTATTAGACATTAAACCACCAACACGCAGACGTAGAGTGAGGACTGAAGAAAATATTGCGGCTGTATCCGCCAGTGTTAGTGATGACCGTGAAATGTCGGTTCTCCGCCGTTCGCAGCTATTGGGCCTCTGTTACTGTTTTTTCAAATTTTTTCTGTTTTTTTTTTTTGAAAATCAAATCCCCCTTTTTTGTCGCAAACTCTAAGAGATTATGACCTAAGTTGCGTAATGTTGTCTGGGTAATTAAAGGACAACTTCTTCATCGAAAAATGTGCAAAAGGTTCGTACAAATATGAGTCCGGCGATTTTAGGTGTTTAAATTGACCTATAACATTCATCACAGGTAGACCATAACAGCTAATCACTTTATTGGGATAATCGGATTTGTAAATGAGGGTCAAGAACCTTTGTCACCCTTTACCTGTTCCTTGGCAATTTTCAAGTTACTATCACAAACTTTCTAGTTTTAAGTATACATAGGGCTAGACATGGTTTCCTAACGGGAAAGGTACGAACAGTCTGAGGATAAAACTTGACATGTACATCGAGAAACAGCTATGCAAGTGTTATGTCTGAATCTCGATGTACACGTCAAGATCGTCTAATGAAAAAGTCTGATATCACCTCTAGGCTCAAGCATTACCTTTCCTTTTTATCAGTTTTTTTATCATTTTTGTTACACGTAACGTGAATATAACTGAATAAGAAGAATCTTCAAAAACTGTGTGTCGGCGGCATATATTTTTCTCTTCAGAAACTGTGCCTTAAGTGCATGCGACCCAGTTGACTTCATAGTTGGATAACTCCTTATGTGTCAGGCAAGGCCGAATGCGGTAACGAAAACAAAAGACGTTCACGCATGAGATATCCACGCCTTCTGAGCTAATTTCCATACGATGCAACAATTGCCGGTGAAATCCCGCATTCCGCGTTTGCTGACGTCGATTTACCACTGTGGGAATTGGTCTCATCTATTGAGAGACACAATGGATGATGCATCAATGGGGTACTTGCGATCGAGACAGGCGGGTGAGAATTTTCCGCACTTTAGGTTTACGCGGAAATACAATAACGAAATATGTCGAAAGTTCTACGAGAGAACGACGAACAGCATTATTATTTCAGTAACTTATGTACCTATCACATAACGATCACTACGGAAATCATCCTGTATAAATTCCATTCCTCTGAAACAAATTGCGGTTCGATCGTCGGCAGTTTTTTCAATCTTGTCGATTACAACCTACCGCGGACAAATCATAGTTATTTATTCTAAGGAATAATGGATGAAATTAGCAATAAACAAACAGGGAAAAAGCGCAAAAAAATATTTATTGTATACGATCGGCAGAGGAAACAATAGTACAACGCTGCGTATGTTGTGAATATCTTTCAGTATACCAAAAAACAATTTTGAAAAGTCCACAACACCTCTAAAACTTGCTAACCACTAATTTTTTATTCCGGAATTAATTAAAGCATTTGATGTAAACTTTGAATTTGGCCTTGACACTTACCTTCAAGGTCATTTGAAGGTCAAGTCATTTTTAAATGGAACCCCTTTTTGACCTGCAAATCAACATAGCGGAAAATTCTGCGTACAAATATGGTCGTGATCGTTCTTAAATTTTGACCTTTGGTCATGGTCAAGGTCAAACTCTAGACCGTATACTTTTGACAGCGGTAATGAAGAAACGCGAAAATTATTTGTTCTAATATGTCCTTGACCATTTTTTGAACTTGACCTTCAACATGACCATAAAGGTGAAACTCAAGTTTACCTTAATTTCTTGATAATTCAGAAAACTGTGTTAATTCCAGCTCATTGTTCTTTCAGGATTGTTTCTTGGCTACACTGGCCTGACATTCTCATTGCCTTGAAGGTTTTCATTATCAAGGTTATATTCAAGGTCACCATTGGATAGGCGGAGAAAATCATAAAGAATGTCCTATACGACTACTGGTTTTTAAATTATATCACCGTACCTGGGTTTGGCGGAACATTTTGCGTTCAAATATGGTCTTGACCTTTCTTAAATTTTGACCTTAGGAGGTCATGCTCAAGATCAAACTAAGGTACGGTTATTCAGCTTGACGGACAGTACTCGCAGAGGGAAACCACTAAGACAATATTTTCATGATTTATTCCCGGATATCCAATGGTGACCTTGAATCCGACCCTGACGATGTCCTTCAAGGTCATATGAAGCTTGACCCTTCTGTTTGATGGAAAAATATACTTTTGACCGCGGAAATGGAAAAACGGGCAAATTTTATGTTCGAATATGTCCTTGACCATTTCTGGAACTTGACCTTGAACTGACTATCAAGGTCCAACACAAGTTTACTTTAATTTCTTGAAGTTTCAGAAAACCGTGTAATTTCCAAATAAACTGTTTCCTGGCTACAAAAATCGATTTCAACTTCACATGACCTTGAATGTTATAATGATTTAGGTCAGATCCAAAGATCAAGAATAAAATGTCAAGGTAGTTTCCCTATATGACTAATAGTTTTCAAATTATATCACGGTACTTGTGGTTGACCTTGACCTCCCAAGGTCAAAATTTTATATCCTAACATGAAATTTTTCTCTTTTCCTTTATGGGGTCAAAAATGAGAGGTTCACTAAAAACCGATGTAACATTCAAATGACCTTGAACGTTATGGTCAAGGTCAAATTTAAGGTCACCGTTGGAAAACCGGAGAAAATCATGAATAGGGTGTCAAGGTAGTTTCCCTATACGACTACTGGTTTTCACATTATATCACCGTACATGTGTTCGACCTTGACCTCCCAAGGTCAAATTTTCATATCCTAACATGAAATTTTCCTCTCTTCTCATTTATGGGGTAAAACAGGAGAGATTTCATTTAAAACCGATGTAACCTTCAAATGACTTTGAAGGTTATGGTCCAGGTCAAATTTAAGGTTACCATTGGAAAACCGGAGAAAACAGTTTCTCTATACGACTACAGGTTTTGACATTATATCACCGTACATGTGTTCGACCTTGACCCCCGCCCCAAGGTCAAAATTTAATATTCGGACATAAAATTTTCCGCTATTTTCACTTACGGGGTCAAAAATGACGAGATCTTCAAATGACCATGAACTTTAGGGTCATGGGCTTAGTTTTTTCACACCATTACTACTTCCCAAATTATCGGGTTCCGGAACTTTTCAGACACCCTGTAAATCGAAAAAATTCTTCAAACACCATACTCATGCCTGTTCTTGCACGCCATAAATCTATCCGCGCATAAGGTACCATTAAAAGCTATCGTACGTGTTCGCCCCGCGATAATTTACCCGTGCGGAGGTGAAGCAAAGCAGCAAAAATATATTTCCAAGTTGAAGAACGACGGCGTCGTGGCGTATACCCGCATCAGTTTTACACTTTTTTAAAAACGACGCAGTACGCCGCAACAGCGTTTACCCGCACACGGGAATCTGCTCGAACGTAGCAATTTGTTAGAAATACGTTCACGAAAGCTCGATCCGTGTATGGCGAGGCGCTCGAAATGTGAAGCTCCGTTGATGAACGTAGAAAGAGAAGGCAACTTTATAACAAACTGGACTATATCCGTCGACTTGTTCAACCAGTTGCAGAAAAGGAAAACCGAGCCAGCGCGAGTTAAAACGGCTATCGATAATTTTGATAAATGTATTGTCGATGTGAGAAATAAAATTGATGACATGATAAATGAAGCCAAAAGTATTTGCACTGAACCCCAAGGCAACAAAAGGAGACGACGTAATAATAGCAGTCACGATGACCGAGTTGCCCTATTAGAAGTATGCGACAATATAGTGAATTCTGCAAATGACAGATTTCAATTCGAAGATCATTTGGTAGCCGCATCCCTTTTTTAACTTTGGAGAATACTGAGGTAAGTTTCCTGATGACAAGTTGGAAACTACCTGCTTGGCTTATCCCGAATTAAAAAAAAGTCCTTTAAAGACAGAGTTGTCTGTTATTTATGCACGGAATGATTGCCGAGATTTAAATGGAACTCAGCCTCTTTTGAAATTTTTCCTAAAAGAAACAAAAAAGCTATTAGAAATTATTGTTACGACTCCTATGTCAACATCAGAGGCTGAGCGAAATTTGTCATCATTGAAAAGAATCAAGACTTTTCTTCGTAACACTATGACCCAGGATCGCCTTACAGCGTTGTCGATGCTGTCCATTGAAAAGGAATTTATTTCGAAAATGGAAAATTTCAACCGGAAGGTGATCGAAAAATTTACTGCCAAGAGGTAGGTTCGGATTTGCGAATGCCTGTTTTATTTTGCCACGAGCCGCCACTGATGTAGATATAAAAACAAGTAAGTCATCATTTACAACATCGCCGTTCGACTAGAGAAGCAGGCAGAAGAACTGCAACTTCTCCCCCCAGAGCAATTCGGCTTCAGATCCTCCCACAACACGGAACTCCAAGCGCTACGACTGACGGAAAACATCACCAGCGGCTTCAATCTCCAGGAGGCAACCGGTCTCGTCCTGCTGGACGTGGAACGAGCCTTCGATCGAGTTTGGCACGATGGACTCATCGCCAAAATGGAAGCCGCCGGAATCGATGCGAACATGTGCCAACTGATCCAGAGCTATCTAACACAAAGATGGTTCACGGTGAAGATTGGTACATGCCATTCAACAAGATGACAGCTGGAAGCAGGCGTGCCCCAGGGGTCAGCCTTAGCCCCCCTGCTCTACAACATCTATACTCACGATGTGCCGAAGACAGCTGACACAATGCTGGTCCTATATGCAGACGACACTGCTATAGCCGCCAAGCATAGACGACCCGAGATCATCCTAAGGAGACTACAGGATGAACTGGACCACATCCAGGACTGGTGCGTGAAATGGAAAATCCGCATCAACGTCCAGAAGACGCAGGCAATCTTCATTCAACGAAGAAGGATTGCAAGACCTCTCGAAGCATCCATCTTCGACGAAGATATCCAGTGGAGCGACAAAGTCAAATATCTGGGGATCGTATTTGACAAGTCCCTCACCTGGAAAGCCCACATAGAAGCTGTCATCGCAAAAACCAGAGCAGCCATGGCTCAACTCTACCCATTACTGGGTAGACACAGCCGGATGCCGCTAGCGACCAAGCTACGGCTGATCAAGGCCATCGCCAGACCTCAGCTCGCTTACGCCTCCGCGGTCTGGGGGTACGCTGCCCCCAGCTACCGCAAGCGACTCGCTGTTCTAGAGATGAAGCTACTCCGGATCGCCACCAGTGCACCATCCAACGTAAGAAACTCAACCTTGCGTAGAGACCTGCATTGAGACACCATCCACGAGTACATGAGGAAAAAAGCGGAGAAGACCTTCGAGAAAGCTCAGGACCACCCGAACGAGCAGCTACGATTCCTCATGGACTACGATCCGGACGAGAGGCCTCGCAACCGCAGAACCAGGTACCCCAGACCAAGGTCCCAGTTGGCACCCACTAACTGGAACCTTGACTAGGAGACTAGGAGAACTCGCGGTTGCTCCCCCTCCCCACGGCGTGGATGCAGAGGACCAGGAACCACCGGGACCAGGACCAACCAGGACCAGGACCCGCCACGACCAGGACCCACCAGGCCCAGGACCCTTCAGGACCAGGACCAGGAACAACATATTGGTAAGACGACTTGAAACTCTTGATTTTTCGAAAACAAGAGTTTCAAGAGAACCTAGCAGACCCCCTATCGATGATCGCTTAACGACATCGACAGAATGTGCGAGGTAAAGGGAACCAACCCGGCGTTCCCAGAGACTGAAACACATGAGGAGACGTTGTAGCAGACCGCAGGTCACGCACAACACATGGCCTACCGAGACGCTGATGAGTCGGGCCACGCGGAGGTTTAGGGTTTAGTGGGTATTAGGTGATCTCTTCAAGACCCTGGAGTCCCACACACGCCGTAGCTCGGGCTATGGTATGGTGCGTAAATGCATTCCCCCCTCACCAAAAAAAAATAAAAAATTTACAACAGCGTCACAGAACGCTATTGCAGTTATTTCGAGCAAATTATACATCGGCCTTTTATCATTCAATTTTCGCGATGTCACCGAGATCAGAAGCTTCATAATGAAACAACGCTTTTGACTAATACTAAAGAGTAAAGACGTTATATTTACGGATTCGTGCATCGAGGAGAGCAGTGGTGGCAGTAGATTGCACCCTGTCCCTTTTAAAACTATAAATAGAACGTTCATTAAAACGTTCATTCCAGTAACAGCAGCGACGATTTTTCCATCTCCATTTTCTGTTTCCATCTATATTTAGCACATAATCAGGCCAGCCAAACTCATATTTTCATTTACTGCTTGCAACTCGCTCTGCAAATCATCAAATACCGTCTGTTTGAAATATCGATCTTTTTATTATAATTGGGGATTGATGGTATGCTTACAACCGTTGCAGTATATACACAGTACAATAAACATTTGAAAATGTTATGTGTTTATATTTCTCCACTCTTCTCTAATTTGAACTTGGACTTTTATCGGAATAATAAATTATTCAATATATCCAAGAGTTCATTACGATAAAGCTAGCAAGACAGGGATTTAGGTTAATTGCACCATTTTCGAGGATTTAGTAGTAATACCAGCGGTAAATTTTCTGAAATTGCATTGAGCAACGCGAACGCATAATACCAGTAGTTTTTGGTCATAAAAAGATTATAATCTAACGGATATTCAAGACAGCAGATATTCATTACAAATAATTATATTTGTTTTCAGCGATATATTATACCCACTATTTGAAGAATATCGTAATTTGTTTTGTTTAACACTAACCTCAGTCTGGATTAACGTAAGAAATTCGGAAATGAGGGCAGCTCTCCGATAGCAGTGTGCGTTAGATACTGTTACAGTGTGGCTTCTCGTATGAACGGATTTTCATTCAACGGTAAAGAAATTCGCCAGTTTTCCACCCAGAAAACGCTTAGTTTCGCTACTGTCCAACAGATGGCGCCCCTATATTTCAGTAGCGCCATCTACTAGAGAGTAGCGATACTGAGCATACGGAGCATGTAAACCAGTTTTCATCAGAACACTGTTTTGCATCTTTTCACATTCGATATCATGATCTAACAATACAGTATATTCAGATAAGAGATAGATCGGATGTAAACAAAAGGTTCGGGTGATTTTCACGCTAACGCCGCCGTCTCGACGTAAAACAGGAGCCTTCATTGGTCAATTCGCAATTAAATGCCTATGCCGAGCGGCAGAGCAGTCGTATCAAGGCAGAGTCACATTCAGGTTCAGACGTGTTACGTATGTCGTGTGCATCATTGCAATTTGATATTTCTTTGGACGTTTTCGTTTGTTATCTTATTAAGTTGTTGAGTTTGTCGTTGTTATTGTTATACCTTGTTATTGATTGTTATTGTTATCAACTGCTTGCGCAAAATGCCCAGTAGTACAGATACTGCCGATGAAGTTGTAAACTCCTGTAGTCCACCTAGGAAACGCTCTAAAAAAAGACACCTGAGTGCAGAAATGAAAGAGGTCATTTTGAATATATATAAGATCGAGCGCGAGAAGAACGAGGCATCAACCATCAAAGAAATTGTTGTGAAGGTTTCTCACAAAGTTGGGGTGTGTCGCGCATCAGTGTTTAATGTGTTAAGACAATACAAAAAAAATCACACCTTTTCTGAGCCAATGACCAGTAAACATCGCAAAAGTATTGTTAAATCATTGGATGAAGCTAATAAGCATGCGATTAGGAGGAAAGTGCACGAATTCTTCTTTAGGAATGAAATACCTACTATAGATAAAGTACTGCAGGAGGTAAATGGAGATACAACGTTGCCAAATTTCAAACGATCAACTTTCCATGCGTTACTGAAGCATTTAAATTTCAAATGGAAAAAACGGGGTCGTAATAGTTTACTACTGGATAGAGAAGAAATTGTGCTATGGAGGAGGGATTATTTAACAAAAATTGGGAAATATAGAAATCAAAACAGGAAGATTTATTACCTTGATGAAACATGCGTAAACGCAGGACACACTACAAGTAAAGTATGGGTTGATGATTCTGTAACTTCATCCAGGAGGGCCTTTCTAGATGGACTGTCCACCGGATTAAAAAATCCAGCAGGTAAATACGAGTAATAGACAACAATCGGATGTTTTTCAAACCTTGGGAACAAGGTTCTAAACATTAATTCCAGGGGGCAGATAAAACATATTACAAGTAACAAAACTTTTATAACTTTCGATAAAATGCGTGGATGTTTTATTGTCATTTTCATTTGTCAGAACTTTTTAAGCCATGTTTTTATGTGTTTTCGATATTTCAATAATTTTTTAATATAATCTTAAAATATGTCGAATATTATAAACTTAAAAAAAGTTACTAAGTTTTATGTTGTGTACCGTTCCTAATATTTCTAATCATTTTAATTCATACTTTAAGCTTTATAAAGTTATAATTTGTTAATATTAATATTTGCGCGTATTTCAGGTTCCTGATCATTCATTTTTTAGAGGTTTATAACTTTAAATTAAATTGTGAAGCGCTGACTAATCATACGACGTTCAATATTCTTTCTTTCAATATGACTAAATAATCCCAATTATAGCAATCTGATACTCATGTCTCAATGTTTTTTCGCTGAATGTGATGAAAACATTTGAAAAAGGTTCGCTTATTGAAATAAATCTACACCAGTTAGTACTTCGATTTCCAGGTAAAGGGAAAAGGCTCATTATCTGCCATATTGGCAGTGAGGATGGATTTGTTGTTGACGGTCTGTGGTGCTTTGAGTCTAAGAAAACTGGAGATTACCACGAAGAAATGAATGGCGAATCGTTGTGGTTTTCAAAAATTTTACCGAACTTAGAGGAAAACGCAGTAATTGTGTTGGATAATGCGCCTTATCATTCTCGAAGAATGGAGAAGGTTCCAACAACGGCTTCAAGGAAAGTTGATGTTCAAAATTGGCTCCGCTCGAAAAATATCAACTTTGAAGAAGCAATGCTGAAAGTACAATTATTAAGAATTGTCAAGGATCACAAGGCGGAATATCAAAAATACGCCATTGACGAAATGGCAGCAAGTCAAAATAAAACTGTGCTCCGTTTACCTCCATACCATTGCGAGCTCAATCCCATTGAGCTCATATGTTCAGAGGTTAAAAATTATATAGCTAAGCACAATACAACTTTTAAATTTTGTGACCTCAAAGGACTTTTCAAAGAAGCACCAGAATTAATAACAGCGCAAAACTGGGAAAACTGTATTAAGCACGTGAAAGACAAAGTTGAAAAGAGAATGTGGGAACTGGAAAATATTTTAGAGGAACAAGTCGAGCCATTCATTATTGACGTAGGTGCTTCAGGCAGTAGCGATGATGAAAGCTCATCAAGCTCATCTTTCCAATAAAAGATGTCGTTCATCAAATTCGGTAAGTTATAAGTAATTATAAAGCTACTGTATTTTTTAATTAATTATTGACATTTTTGAACCTATTTTGGCAAAACCTATTCAAGAATCTACTTTCTGACAATGTTCAACCATGCACATTTTTTTACGTTTTGAACGTTTTAACTTGGTTACATATTTACCTAGAAATCAAAAAATATACTAATCAATATTCTAAAAGCAATTTTAAGAGATATACGATTATTTTTAATTTAGGCTAATTTAAACGCCATTTTGAGATTATATTCGACTGTATTTCACCAAACATCAGACGGCATCCGAAGCTGGAAATCGAAGCGAAAATTTTGAAACCCTTATGTATATTTACATCATTATATATTTCTTACCCCACCCCCACATGATCCTATATCCATCACCAATCGTATACACATCGAATTGTGCTAATTTACTACAAAGTTACGCAAAGCTGCATCTACTATCTAAAATATGTACTGCGTGACTCTTAATACGTCCCTGCCGAATGTTACAGCGTTCGATGATCACGTGGTCTTGTTTATGTCCGGTCTATCTCTTATCTGAATATACTGTAGGTTCTCAAAACTATTTTATACCATTACGGAAGTTGATATTTTCTATAGATGGCTCTGCAAATACCTAGCGATCACACGCCTCATAAATTTCAAAAGGGCTGCTGAACGGTGAATCTGCATTTGTGTCAACAGTGTTCGTTTTTGACAAAATCTACGTCAATCTAATGAACGTATATCCAAGCAGAAGAATCATTTTTAATTAAAAATTTGGGGGTTTTAACGAAGACGAGTTGATCAACCACCACTCCAAGATTCTCTTAGCCTAGTTGAATTTTGTGGGGCGTATGATAGTAAGGTTTTTAACGTTACTTGAAGGAGCTAATGTGAACGGACGATGCTTCAGGGACTGCAACGCATAATATCTTCCCATTATACGCCGTAAAGAACCCAACGTGACGTGTTCGAACCAGCTCGAGATGCCGTATGAAGAAACAAGCATGCAACTTGACCACCTCTATACACCATACCGGAGCAGTTAGCTTCTTCCATAAATTCTCGTTGGGCGTGCAGGCCAGTAACGAGCAGCCTGTTTTCCACCAGCATAGAACAGACGAGGTCGGCGATTCTGACGAGCCGAAGTCTGAACAAACGTAGCTGAGCTGCTTCTCCGCTGAATACGTGTTTACTATCTTAAAGGAGGCCATACACTACACCGGCAAGGTTTACCGAATAAACAATGAAGTGCTATCTGATGTCTCTTAATTAGTGCCACCAGAGTCTCTGATGCATCCAGAAAAAAATGAATCGCTCATTCTTGTCTAGCCAAATGTAGTTTTATTTTTATCCAGGTTTTTTCTTATAATGGGTTGTCCAATAGGGACGCAGGAAAGTAAACGTCAATTTGACATAGACGCCATCTTTGTTTTCTGTCATTTTGTCAGTTGAATGTTTACCATTGATCGCTATGGATTCGTATTCGATTGAAGACCGCATTAAGGTTATTCAAGAGCACTACAAAAATGGTGCAAAAATAAAAAAACACGTTTCGCGCGCTTCGTGAACATTTCGGTCGCAACCACCGCCCAAACGAAACAACCGTCGGTCGTCTGGTGCGTAAATTCGAGGCAACAGGTTCTGTGGCAAATCTGCCAGGCTCTGGCCGGCCAAGGAGCGTTCGCACACCGGAAAATATTGCTGTTGTGAAGGAGAGTGAGAGAGACGATCCGAAACAATCAACAACGCGTCGATCCCGAGAATTGGGCATTTCGAGAACCAGTTTGCTCCGCATTCTCCACAAGGATTTGAATGTACACGCCTACAAGATCCAATTGACGCAAGAGCTGCGTCGGGCCGACCATTTTTCGCGCCGAACGTTCTCAGATTGGCTCCTTGAACACCGCCAAATTGATGCCAATTTTTCATCAAAAATCATGTTCAGCGACGAAGCGCATTTCACTTTGAATGGGACGGTAAACAAGCAAAACTGCCGCATCTGGGCGAACGAAAATCCCCGTGAGTATCAAGAGCGGCCGATGCATCCTCAAAAAGTGACTGTGTGGTGTGCATTGTGGTCAGGTCAGGCATCATCGGACCTTACTTTTTCGAAAATGCGGCCGGGGACGCCCTTACCTTCAATTCTGAGCGATATCACATGATGATAGAGGACTATTTTTTGCCGCAACTTCAAGGAATGGATATGGACGATGCTTATTTCCAACAAGACGGTGCAACATGCGACACAACCAACGTCAATATCCATCGATTGCAGTCCTTCTTCGGTGATCGCGTGATTTCGCGCAGAGGAAATGTGCCATAGCCACCAAGATCGTGCGATT